ACTAAGGGATCTGCTTTGTTAATGCTATTACTTACTGTACTCGCTCCTAAGAATTAATGGCCAAGGAGGAAGGGTTAAACTTGTAACCTCATGCAATGAAATTACCAACAAAGTTGTCGTGAAACCTCAAATCATGCTTAGACGATAATGGCAATCCGGCATAATAATCGTGACTTTCGCAAATAATTACTGGAAATTAATTTAAATATACACGTTCTTATGAATTTTTTAATATGTTCAAGAGGGATTTTAGAATGAAATGTTTAAAACTGAATGTAGTGTGTGCAATATAAGTTTGTTTAAATGCTTCTTTTAGGTGAAAAGTGTTCGGTGAACACGAATCTCGTTGTGGAACAGTCGTCATCTGCCCTTTGAGAGAAGTGCAGCCTGAGCAGTACGCCGTCCATGCAAGTATCAATGAGGAGTGCTCCTACCAAATCGATCGTTTCACTGTAAGCGAACGAAGCCAAGGTGGAAGGATATAAATGCCGAACCTGTTGCACTAATGGCAGCGTCGCCGGACCTCCTACCATTCAGGAATGATATGGATCGAAAAAGTGCGGTTTGACAACCGCCAGGCCTAGCCTTTGGTTCTACCTGCAACACCAGCGCATCCTCTAGATTCTACCTGCCCTTCTTTAGCTGCTCTTCCTTACCTTCCCATTCACCAAATTGAAAATCCTGCTTTGCTTTACCCAAATTCTCTATTGACCAGGAGGAGCAGTCACTTACCACAGAGTTCCTTCACCACTGCTATGATGCGGACGAAGACGGTGTGGCTGCGCTGAAGGTCTCCAACTTACAATATAACGAGCTTCGACCAAACAGCCTCCAACTAGAGTCTCAAGATAGAATGCCGTTTAGCTCAGACAAGAAGCGCGCCAACCCATTATGATCGAGAAATTCCTCGATACAAACACTAACTCCCCATCGAACTGGTAAAGTTCACTGCAAAGAAGCGCAGGGAGTCTCTTGCAGTCATATGCCACAACAGCCTTAATAAATGATCAAATCCAACACCTTCCTATCGTGGTCCTCTGTGTTATACCCCAAAATTAGGTAAGTCCTCCTTTTCCTTTTCTTATTTACTATCATATTGCCCTAATTTATTCTTGCTAATCCATGACAAACTGGAAGGGCATCCATACAATTTCCTCTTTGACTGTGGTGCAACTAGATTGATAGGATATATTAAGGTTTTCTTGACCCTTTGTAGCTTATTGCATTCAGCAGAATGAAGGGAGATGGTAGCAAAGGCAAGTAAATTTAGGTAGTGAAATTTACAAGATGTGCAAAACTTGCTTAGGACGCGATTCTTAACGCCGATTTTAACTAAAAATTAAGGTAATCCTAAATTTTGCAGAAGACACCAACTCTTTTAATCGTGACATTACAGCCAAGGCAGCCGTTTTGCTACCAAAAAAAAAGACATTGACAATATTTGTAACGCCCTTTTTGAGACCGTAGCCGTACCCATAAACAACCCAGATGACCTCTCTGCTCAGCCTACCTACATAACCCACTTTCAGGGAAAAGAACTTCGCTTGTGAATGGTTAAGCACGCAAATATATTCTCCTGGTAAAGTGTTAAGCTGGGGCGAACAAGCATTGTCGCGTATACCATAGGCACCCGGAGGCGTACCACCTCCTCTGCTAAAATGAAGTGATACGTCTCGTCAGAGGACGGAAGTGAGTGACAGTGAGTCGACAGCAGGAATCAGAACGTGGCAAAGAAGTTTGCCTCCTTACTGTCCCACATTAACTCTTAATTGGGCTCCCTGCAAGAATTAGTGGTTCTCTCCCTCAGGCTTAACATCAGGACACTGGTAAGTGAATTTGGCGGAAAGGGACAGAGAAAGGACAGTTTTATATATTATCGGGTGGAATTTTGAACTCTGTAAGACAGCGACCATCTTTTATTTGCTGATGCAAACCGTATTAGTCGATTTAATTCCCAAACATTGCAAGATATACCTCGATAGCATTCTCGTATTCGTTAAAGACATTTGAGAGCATACCACAAACCTGGGACTAGTGTTTGGCCGCTTGCGTGGTGCGGTGTTAACCCTTTTCTTGTGCAGCAGTGTTCGGCTAACTTCTCGGGCCATGCCCCTTCACCAGATGGCACAGTAGCTACCAAAATTGCTGCACAACAGATGATGGCATTTCGTCGTTTCCTAGGCTTGGCAGGTTACTTCAAGGCAAACTCGCTGCATAAATTGACGGAAAATGGGACAAAAGGATTCTTTAAGTGTGAGAAAGAGGACGATAAAACATTCAAATAAGTAAAGCAAATACTCTGCTCTGCACCGATTTTAGCATTACCAAACTTTGGATCCAGTGCCCTACCATCTGTACTGTATGTTAGGGCCAGCCTTGCAGCTGTGGATGTTGCACTCATGAAGGGACACAGAGGGACTGAAACGCGTCAAAGAGGTGGGACAAAAATGTGCAACACAGCTTGAGCTGTTCGCTGACTTCACAATGGTTGAACACCTTAGACATTATCTGATAGCGAAGAAGCTCATATTGAGAATGGATTGTTAGGCACTGGCTGATATGGTTAAAACAATTAAGGGCATAGATCTTTCATGTCCATGCTAATATAAGGCGGTATAGCAGTTATATAAGCGTCTCGTAGTTCTAGGATCATCTGTGCAAACAGTTCTCCAGAAACTTTACGATTAATTTGGCCCCGTGAGCAAAAATAAGATGCTAGATGCCTCGAACATGAGATATCAGTTGTCTCTCCTCATCTCAGATATAATTGATTCCTGCCAAATCTGAGTCACTTTCAGCAGCCATAAAAGGCTTTACCTCACAGTGACAAAACGACTTTAATCCATGCCCACATGGTTCCTAGGGGAAAGTGTAGGTATTGGTATCATGGTCCCTCTGCCACCCGTCATGATAGAGAGTCCTTGCATTCGGGCTATGGTCATCACATCACGAAAGTACCCGAGGCAGACCCCGTTAGGAAATAAGACGCTGATAAAGTCGCTTTAGTTTTCCTTAATAGTTGGATTCGCAACAGAAAGCGCCCAAAACATTGAACAGCGATCAAGGCGCTGATTTTGAATTCCTACTTCTTGCTGACCAAAACAAGACTTTCCGAATCTTAAAGACACGCACGACACCTGGACAGCCCCAGGATAATGTGCAAAGGGAAAGAACGAATTGCCCTTGGATTGGAATACTGAAAGTTTTCACTGAGGATTCACGAGAAGACGACTAAGATTAGGGTCTGGGACAAGTTCTTGTGGTATACAGGGCTGCAGTCCACACATTAACTGGCACAACGTGAAATAAATTACTAAGACTTCTTTACCAAATAGAAGTAAGAACCAAAAATGTCTCAGGGTGCGTGATGCAATTGTAAGGAAGAATATGATATGCATTTGATTTCGCACGTAAATATTTACTGCTGTTATATCAGGCAGAAGAAATATTGCACCAGCCGCAATCAGACTGACGTCTACCAAAAAGGGAAACTAAGGCAACTGTACAGGTCGATCCCACCACCTATCGTTCATCACAAGTTCCATCATCCACAGAGCACAGATGTATTCCAGTGATGATTGTCATTTCACTATCAAACCCCCTCTTCCGCAATGCACAAGTCCGTGCTCAACCAATTACCATAACAAAGTGTGTCCGTAAAAAGGTGTACCCCTGTCAGATATGAAGATGCAGTTTACGGCTGGTGCTAGCGGAAGAAGGAGGTGCATCGCCAATGGCATATAGTAAGTTCTTTCAAACCCCTAAGGAGAGCACTGGGGTAGAGTGGTTTTGGGAAAGATTTGAGGGTTATTTAGCGTGTAGATGATTGAATGCACTTTTTAGGCGAGAAGCGTTCAGTGGACTCGAATCTCGTAAAGGAAGTGGCGTTATCTATCCCCAAGGAATAAGTGCACTCTGAACAAGTAAAACCCTGATCCCTGTACTTCATTCATACTACCACCAATAAAGTTTCCTACCTGATTAGTATACTCGTTTTAAAGGAATTTGGACTAAGAAGGAAGAGATAGAGCCCAACCCACTGCGGTGCATTCATTGAAAAGAAATCTAAATGCGGTTTCGTGCAGATTCAAAAATTAAACGTGTGTCTAATATCTAAACCAGCTTTAAGGTAATGGTTAATCCAGCGAAATTGTTTGACGCTTTTTTACAAAATTATTTTTTTCATTGTTTTGATTAGTCGGCGCAAGGGCCCCGTGGTTGTTGGAGATTTTGTTTTGCATAGTATTCACGTGTTTATGCCAATGGTTAAACCACCTACACTTTGTGGAATTGGTAAACTTGTAAGTTTGAAAGCCATGTCTGACCAATCGTTGTCCCCTACGCTTGAAATTGGGCTCACTGTTTCGCTATACATTTTTCGGTCCTCAAAACGCCGTCCTTACTGCTTTCAATTGCTCCAAGAATTACATTTTACAAAGTAGACATAGGTATATTGCCCAAGAATTGGAAAATGGACTTCTTTGCGTTTGAAAGACTAACTGTGCTATATGACAACAGCCTAAGGTTTAATTGGCTCTCTGTTTTTTATGGTTGGTGTTCTTGTTTCAAATGTCAATTTAGTGCTACTCCTCATTCATATTGATGATTCATGTTTTAAGGCCGTTCACACCTTATGAATTTAGAATCAATCCATTCCAAGTTTTTGCCAAACTAGTTGGGTTTTGCAACCCTAAAGGCGATAATCTGGGTGGGTAGATGCATTATCATGCATTACCTGTCGTTCTGCTATGGAGAGGTGGGAAGCTATTTAATCTTTCGTTTTCTGTTTTAAGTAAAGGTCAACGATTGAGTAGCATCTTTAGGTCTGTTAAACGTGGTTACGTGTGTGATTCCTTTTATATAGCGCGATTGCCCCCAAAACCTTCCTAAGTAGGCTCGGTGGGTCGGATTGTATATCTCATAAAGCAAGCATTTCAATCCCATGGCCTGCATGCTAACGCTGTTTCTAAGCGTTAGCTTAGGGCACACGACTGCTGTGGCCCTAGGTTGCGTGAGGTTACAGCCGTGTCATTCAACACCTTGACAACTTTTGCCTTATCTTGTTAACTTTTCACCAAATAATTGTCGTAGTACAGGGTAGCCGATAAGGTCATTCCGCTTTGTAGGTTATCTCCGGTGACACGATTGTCATCCGTGACCGTGCTCAAGATGGTCCGCCCTCTGCGCGTACAGTTCTACTCGATCATATTGCCTGCCCGAAAGTGGCCAAAAGGTCTAGTCCTTCTGGACAGCCCACGCCAGATGAGCCTTTTGGCTGGATGGCACGCGAATTTGTGCGCTCCAAGGTGGTCGGAAAGGAGATCTGCTATACTATCGAGAAGGAAGTTGACACTAATCGTGTATATGGCTGCATATTTCTCGACGAAAATTCAGGCTCTCAAAACCTTACTCACCTCCTTGTGAGTGAGGGTTTGGCTCAAGTGAGGCGTAGTATGAGTCAGGCTGCGATCGAAAAAAGTCCAACAATAAAAACTCTTATTAAGCTCGAAAAGAAAGCTAAGGCCCATCGAAGAGGTATTTGGTCTGGCTCGGAGGTTGGCGCGCCGCGTAACATCTGCTGGAACATTGCACAACCCAGGGCTTTTTTCAATAAGCATGCCAGAAAGCCCCTTAACGGCGTGGTCGAGTTTGTCCGTGCTGGCAACATGCTACAGATTCAGCTCTTCCCACTTGATGAGGAGGTCACTCCAACCTATTACAACATCACGGTGCTCCTCTCAGGTATCAAGACTCCGGGCTCAAAGGTGGTTGAGGGTTCTCGTGTTTACGATCCCTTTGCTCTTGAGGCGCAATTCTTTGTGGAGTCGCGTCTTCTCCAACACGATGTCACTGTCATCCTAGAAAGCATGAGCAACAACTTATTCGTAGGCAGTGTTCTCCATCCGAAAGGCAATATTGCCCTCTTTCTGCTGCGTGGAGGATTGGCTTGGTGCTTGCGGTGGGGACTGACAGTTGTTAGTCCACAAGCTGGTAAGGCTAAAGCCTATCACAGTGCCGAGCAAATAGCTAAACTTAAACGTCTTTGCATCTGGAAGGCCTGCTTACCACCAGCTGGTGAATTAGTAGATGCATCGAATGAACATCATCTCGTATCGGTCTAACATTCGGCTCACTTGTTTCAAAAATGAACAATAATCTTGCTTGTATTGCTTCTCCCTTTTGTATTTCGCGTGTCCAAATGCATATCACTTTGCATCTTTTTGTAGCAAAGTATTAAAAATTATTAATATTCCTGCATTATATTAAAGCGCCAAAACGAGCACTGCAAGAATAATGAGTCTAGCATAGAGATTAAAAGTGTCTATTCGCCAGTTGGTTCAATCACTTTCGTAAATAGAAAGTCGAGTAGGAAAGGTAGCTTTAACGGTCCATCCTTGTCCACCCAAAAGTCACTTAAATCATTGCAATGAAAGCTTTCTCAATAATCCCAGGAACAAGTGTACAAATTTATGGATAACTATTTCGCATCCTATGAGTGGTTGAGGGCACGGGTTATTAGTACGGCTTGATGCAATATGTATCGTTGTGAATGCCATTGAAACACTGAGTACGCAACAAAATGTCACGGACGTTTTCGGATAAATTGAAGTAAGAAGATACCGGAACATAAACACTCATTGGTACGGATTACAATGAACAAGAAATGAATGTTTTGCTAAGAGATATGGCTGCACAATCAAACCAGGCGCCTTTGTAGGCCTAGCTGTAGAAAAAAAAGGCCAATTAGTCAAACTGGTACAAATGCTCTAACGCAGATAAGTTTCGAGCCATCGGTAAAGATGTTTGACAATGATGAATAACAAGGAAATGTTGGCAATCGCGGAGACCATTGTGAGATTTCTTGCTAGTCACAGAATAAGGTACCACATTTCAGTAAGGAAATAGATTTAAGTATTAAAGAAACCACCTTAAAAAACAAAAGAAATTCGTGAAATTCCAGTCATCATGTCGATAAGTGCCGAGACAAACCGATCTCCTTTGTCTCTTATTAAATTACAATTTTTTTATTAATTTAAATGTTTTTGGCAATTTAGATACGGTGGCGCCTCAAAAATGCTGATTAGCGGCCGATCAAATTCAGGCATTTGTACTATCTCGCATTAATCAAATTAGTAAGCAATTTAAAAATAGCCAAGACAGTTTTAAGAAAGGAAAGCACGTTCGTGAGCACAAAATAAGGAAGTTGAAGTAACAAAATGAATTTTAGTCTTCTAATATTTTTCAATAATGTGGTAGGCTTACACCCATATTCTTAAAAATACTGCCAGGAAACCATTTAAAGAAAGTAGGCATCTATCTAGGAAAAAGTCATTGATAGGTCTTGATGCATCCCTGAACTTCAGGTCTAAGTGGTTCATTAACTGTAAATATTTCTAATTTATAATTACTATAACTTTTATAATATGGGATACAAAACTACTTCTTAATGTTAGCCCCATTGTCTGACTTAAGCTATTTCTCGAACTCTAACTGATCTCAGGACTAATTTCTACGAAAGTTGCTTTAATCGTACTGTCGTCTTACTGAATTCGGCGTTAAGTAGTAGGTTATCTTCTAGTGTGCAGTAGCTAATGCCTCTTGCAAACTATTTGCAAAACGAATTTTAAATTGTTTGAACTTTAAGAATGGTATTCAAATTTTTGAAGAAACCTTAATCTCTTAGTTTCCTATGATACAAGCTCAAAGCGAGTAGACCAAAACGGTTGCAATGAAGAGGCCAATGTAAAATGACACAAGCGCGATAGTAATAAGCGTTTAAGATAGTGATTTAAACTAGTCTATTCCTTTGGTATTAGGCAAATAAAAGGTTCATACGATTTCCCGTACAACCTGCTGCAGCGACTTGTAAAATGAAGGAGCTAATTTACCCTTACATGCGTCCTCCCCACTTTTCCTGTGGTTTGATTGCACACTCATCACCAAGCACAAATTAGCCCAATCTGACAGATCTGATTCTTGCACGTCAGCATTTCAAACCAAGATTGGCACAGTTCTATAGCCATAGAGGCTAGCTATCATTCAGCTTTGCTATATAACAATTGCGGAAGGTGCGGTATAGAACGTGCCGCCAGGTATTTGTCCGAAAACTTGTTTTGGTGATGAAATACTCAAAAATGGATTTAACAGAGTGGAAGATGGAAAATACAAATTATGAGTAGTACATACTGCAATTATTGGAAACTAACAAGCCAAGGAAATTTTGCCTAACTTTTTGCTTTAAGGCTGGGGTAAAAACGATTTTGCAGCTTTATCGACTGGAAGAGGTTAGTCTTGGTGGAATCTAAGCAAGCACGTACTCGTGACACACATTAAGTGTAAATACATGTCGCTTGGAAAGTACTGTTTGATCCCTAACCGACTAATTTAGGCTGAGAAATGATTTCTCCATTCTTTGGACTCGTCTGGACACAGCTGAGACACAAATCTATCGCTACAGGCCTATGTTTTGTGCGTTCGTTTCTTTACAGAAGGCCCAGCAATAATCGCAGCCAAGGTCCGCCTACTCGAGGGGATGCTCGTGAAGCGTACACAAGAAGGCGTTATCGAGAGAAGCAGTCATTAATAGTGAATTTGTAAGGAGAAGCTCATTTACTTATAAGATCTTATAAGCAAGGCCTCATCACATAAATGCATTGCCGATTCCTGAGAAGTTGAAACGTTGGGGTGGGGAAAGGAGGAAGGGGGTGAGGAAAGGAGCGAGGTACTGACCCATCATTGTAATGTAATTTTGTGAAGCGATGGCAGTGCCCTTTTTTGCCATTAGCATTTGACACACACCCGAAATGGAATGGACAGTTGAGAAATGCGGTGAAGGAGAAGTGGTCAGATGTTTCTTGGCTTCCAGGTGCAAAGCATTTTTCAAATTTTATTATCTTAAGCCTGAATCGTGACGGAAAATATCTTTAAGCCATATGCTGCAATAGTGGAAATTCCAATGTGCAAAATATTGTTTTTGTTAACTATTTTGAATTTTTCTTCGAAAATGATGTCGTACCACCTGAGGATAGCTGTCACTTAAGATAAGGTTTATTATTTGGCTGCAAACAGTGTAACACCCAAGACATTAAAAAGACAAAAGAAGACATAATATACGAGCAGAATATGTGTTACGGACATACGGAAGGATTCGGGAATACTGGCACTGCCCAAAGGCCAGCTCATCTGGCGCGGTACAGCGGCCAAGTCAAAAGTGGCGCCTCACCAAAACAGGGAGTTAAACAACCAACATGTTGCAATATAATGCAATTGATAGGACATATGCATATGTAATACGATAGTGGTTTATCCCTCGGTTCTGGTGAGGCACCACTTTTGTACTTTGAATTAGCCCCTTTGCAACTCGCTGGGTGGGCTGGCCTTTTGTGCCATGCCAATAGCCCGGTCACCTTCTCTATGCTAAATACATATTCTGCCCGAGTATTGTGTCTTCTTTCGTCTTCAGGGAGTCCCGGGACGCTATACATATATCTAAAATCACACTAATAATATGTTAACTAAGAAAACAATGAATTTGAACCTGTAAACATTTATGTACGTACCAAAAATTGTAATTAAAGCTAAATACAACTAGAACCACATATTTGTAAGAAATGACATTGGATATACCTACATGTTTAGGAATAAATTTGCTAAGAAATATTACATTTACGTATAAAAACATATTAAGCTTTTCACAATTATGATTGCCGTGCTAATACACAAACACATATGTATATATATTTCAAAAAATTATGTATATGGCTACAACTCTATGCATACGAAAAACCAAACCCACTAAAAATCAAATTGCATAATAAAAAAGCAGATATACATGCACGCAAAAATGGGAATATACGAAAATAAGCCATACATACATGGAGACAAAAAACATACATCAATACCAACAGATATATGTACATACATGTGTAGCGTCCCGAGACTCCCTGAAGACGAAATAAGACAAAATACTCGGGCAGAATACATATATTCAGCACGGAGAAGGTGTCTGAGCTATTGGCATAGCCCAAAAGGCCAGCCCACCCAGATAGGTACAAGAGGGCTAATTCAAAGTACAAAAGTGGCGCCTCACCAATACCGGGGGATAAACCACTATTGTATTACACATGCGCGTTAATATAAATATATGCAAACATGCGTATGTAAGCATATATATAAACACAAGTAGATGCAAGCATGTACGACATACAAACAAAAGCACGCTTACATACAAACATGCATATGTAAAAGTATACACACATACATACAAAGAAAATATATACATAGACGAAATCATACACACTGGCTTGTATACATATAGGCATTCACACCTACATACTACATGCATTCACACATACAACATGCGCCCATACATGCATACAAGCCTACACACATGCACATTTACAAACATACTCACACATATATACGGGCTTACAGACATGCCTTCGCATACGATAGCATGCACCTACCTGCATGCACATACATACATACATGCATACGTACACACATATACCAATATACACACACATTTATTCACATTTACCTACGATCATAAATACATACACACACATTCTTGTATGCATATATACATACTTGCATAGCTTCAACATTTATTCCCTCAAGCGCACATGCTTTATACCTATTTTTAAGAGCGCATTTGTGCATCATTTTGTGCAAAAATTATTTTATTTTTTTTGATTTTATTCCGTGTCTCATTATGCAGTTGCATACTTTTATTATATGTAATTTATCATCAACTCTTCGGTTTTATATTTTATAGTATGGAATTTACAAAAATGTGGTTATTTTTATGCTTTTAGAATAACTATTTAATTACAAGTTTTGCTCTTTCTTTATTTCCTCATTTAATTGAATGGACTTCGTAGGTTCCTTTGCAAATTTCATTTGGTTAGCTTATTGCGGTTTTATGTCATTGGGATTTTTCGTTCACAACCTTCATGTAATTCATTACATTTAATGCTGCATACTCTTCCAATTTAAGTACATTTTTCTAATGTAGGCATAGTTTTAAACATATTTTACATAAATCCGGCGTGTTACATATGCACTTATTTTTGCGCGACTTCGGTGTACTTGTTACTCATAATGTACTTTGTCCCATGAATTTCCTGTACTGCAGTAGAATTTGTTTTAAAATGTGCGCTTTTACATTACCAATTAATACGCATTTATCTTTTCGTTACAGTCATTTTTGTATCCGTTATTTTTTTATTGCTGAAGTTCATTGCAATTTTGGTTGTATTAATTTGAGCTTTGTACTTATTGGCGAAATAGAGTACAAATGCATTTTTTAACATGTATGAGTTAATACTATTTTTGTAAACCGTATCTGCTATATCCATGCAGTTGATTGTAAAAATTTCTTACAATTTATTTGTACTTGTACAATTACGCGTATATTTTAATGCCTTTAATGCGCTGGCGAGATTAATTGCAAACGTATGTGTGTTGGTGAATACTCACTTTATACCACTAAAATTGCTTACAAAACATCTCTTTGTATTTAAATACGTTTACCAATTTTTTGGATTGATTTTACACATATCTGCGTCAGTGCATATTTGTTATAATTTTGTAAGTTTGGCTAAAATAATTTCCTCTGTTTGGGCAGATATTTATTATGTATTAATGAATTCGATTGTCATTATGTTCGTATGTTACTGAATTTTTTTTACACTTGATAACAACGTGTGTTTATAAAAGTGACTATTTTTACTACTTAGTAAAGTAATTACAAATTTCTCCATATGTGTGTGGTGATGCATTATGTATCTATACATAATATCCACCTCAAATATGTGTAAATATTTATGGTTTTGTTTACATTTGAGAGTATATTTATGTTTCTTTCGTAGTACTACTTTCAGATACATGTGTGCTGGTGCGTGGATGTACTTAACCAGTGACGTTGTTTACAAATACACATACACATATGTATGTGCACATTTTACTTGTGTAATTGCTAACATACGTGTACATATTCACCGATTTTTGGATGCAGCATAATAGTGTAATTGTCAAAAAGTACATATGCACTACAGTACATATGTATTTCGTAAAATGGACTGCAAATACAGATGCATTTGGGTGTGGATGCATTTCGCATAAGTGAGTTTGACTGCAAATACCCATTTTTATATGCAGTGCTTTGGTTGTTTAATTCTTGGTTTTGTCCATGGGCCGCTTAGGTGCTCCACCACTGCACCTTCGCCAAGTGGCCTGGCCTCTGAGCCATGCCAGTGGACGTCAAGCTCTGCTGCTAGTCGAAAATGCGTATTTGACTCGAGTGTTGCCTCCTCTCTGGTCTTCAGGGAAGTCTCGGAGCACTGCATACATGTATGGGTATGTATGCCGCATTTGTGAAACTGCTTGCAATAATAAATTTACAACTATTTAGATGTTTTTTATTAGTGTAATTGATCACAAATATGTATGTTTGGATGGATGAATATACCTTGCATTGCTGAGGTTGTTTAAAAATATGTATACACATCTGTAAGCATGAATATATGTCGGTTTGGTGTAAGTTCTTACAAATATTTGTACATTGATGTATAGTGTATCTATAAGTAAAGTTATTTGCAACTATACGTGATTTGATGGGTGGTTGTATTTTACTAACAAAGTATTTTACACACGTATATTTACATGGGTGCTTTTTTAGAAACATACTATACATAAACGTTTAGATTTGTGTGGATACATTCCTCTTCGTCAAATTAATTACAACTATGCATGTATGAGGGAATGCATATTATTGCAGCGCAGCGAGACTTCCCTGAAGGCGAAAGAATTTCCAATACTTGGTCGAGGCTACTGGCATGGCTCAAAGGCCAGCCCACTCAGCGAAGCGACAGTGACAGAGCCCCGAAACCTAAGCAAACAAACAACGTATTATATATGTATGCATATATGAATAAGTTGGTGTGCTTTACTTATGAAATTAATTACATATTTGTTTGTATTGATAAATTTTCGTATTTCATAAGTAAAAGTGTTGACCCATATATAGGTGTGAATATGTGGGTGTCTTTTGCGCAAGTGAAATTGACTAGAGTTATATACTTCTGAATGTCTTAACTGGTGTTTTATTGATGAACCACTTTTTTCCTACCGCCCTATCCATTTACGTCAAATTTGTCGATTTGCTCCTCTCTCTCTTCCTCCTGTGGCTGGTAATATTGTGCAGTTTCTCGATGTCATTGTGTTCTTCGATCACTGGTGCCGCTTTCTTATGCCCATTTTCTGCATATCTGTCTGAGTTCTATATGCATCGCATAAACTATTTATATGTTTTTTGGAGCCAAAAAGTTTTGGATCCCACTGTTTACCTTGTCATCGGAGGTGCATTGAAGTTTTTGTACACTTTTATTAACACTAATTATGGCAGTCGGGCCTTTTGTTAACGCACTTTTCGCCTACACCCTTTAAACGAAACATGTATTGCATACAATTGTGCTCTGAGTGCAGGTATTTATTATCAACTGATCAATCGTCTATGGTACCCCGAAATATTCCTGATTAAAACTTTGCCATAATTCCAGTTATGATTTGAGACACCTAGGTGTTATTGAAAAGCTACCTAGGAACCCTCGCGAAACTGACGATGTCTCAATAACGGTCTACTGAATCTGTGTGTTCAAGGGAACCGGATCAATAAACATTATTTCTCCATGTAAAACAATCAGGAGTAACCATCGATTACTGCCAACAATAAAATTGACTGTCATATATCTTTTTGAAATGTAGATCTGAAGGATTTAGAGTGATAAAGTTAGCTGTACCATTACCATAGGTCAGGGAAAAAAACATGTCTATTAGGGTTTGTATTTTAGTTATGTCAATGTTGGTGGAAAGCATTCTAGCACTGCGCTCTCCGTTTAAAAACAGTGTAAAATACCTAGAAACTGGGTCCTAAAGGCTAGAGATACGAAAGTGTAGCACGTTTGTCATTCAATTCACCGTTTTGGTGAAGGGCTAGATTTGGCCTTGGCCATTGCAACTTCGACAGGTAAGGTGGCCCTCTAGGCTATGCTAACAGTCGTAACGCCATTTTCATGCTAAATTTACATACTTTCTTTGGGTATTAATCAATCTTTAGCCTGCAGTAAAGTCTCGGTGTGAAGTAAAACGTTAAGGTAGGTCTGATATCATAACAAAGGCTTCCGTGAATAATCTACAGAAAAAATTGAGCAAATGCATTCAAAAATATGCAGTTGTAGATCCTTAAATATATTTGCGAAAGGAATTATTTGACACCAATTATGGTGTATGCAATGATGATGCAGCTTTGTGCAATTCCGAATTTTGGCCGCTTATTTTAGGTTTGTACTAAAGTTTTGGTAATATGCAACACACCACAATTGTTTGTTGTTATTCCATTATTTTTATTTTCGGCGATTTAAATATTGCCATTGTTTTAATTGGTCATCGTAGAGGCTCGGTGGTTGTCGGAGATTTTGTGTCACATAGTTGCCACGTGTTTGTGCCAATGGCTAGACCGCCTATTTTCTGTGGATTCGGGAAACTCGTGAGTTTGAAAGATTTGTCTGACCGATGGTCTTCTATCACTTCTGCAATTGTACATTCAATTCTTTGCTATGCCCTTTTTGCTTCTCCAATGGCTATCAATACTATTTTGTGCTACTGTAGTACTCAGATTATCGAAGGTAGACATATGCGTACTGCCTAATCATTTTAGAAGAATTTTTTCAGTGTTTGATGGACAGGGTGCGCTTTCTAACAACAGCTCGCAGACGGTTGGCTTTCAGATTCATGACCAGACTTCCCATTTCAAGGTGTTTTTTAGGGCTTCACCCCATTTGATTTGATGCCACATGCATTTAGGTTACCAACACATGAATCTTGCATCAACCCATCCCAAGCTTTTACCAGGTTAGGAAGTTTTGTAACTCTAAAGACAATAGTTTGCCTTTTGTTCTTTATCTCCCGTTTTGCTATTGAGACGTTGGAGGCTCTCTACTCCTCCGGATTTTGCTTTGCGTATCATGCCTACGTTTGAGTAGCATCTTTATGGGTGTTCAGTGTAGTTGAATGCGTGATTCCTTTCATGTGGCGCGATTGTTTTCATGGCGTTCGTTAGTCTGTTCAGTGGGAAGGCATTTATATCATACGGAGCGAATAATTAGATCACTCGCTTTGTATTCTGACGCTATTTCTGTGATTTGGCTTAGATCATGCGGCTACTCTGACTTCAGGCTGTGTGACGCAACAGCTTTGATAACTTCAGTCATGTCTTGTATTATTCGCTTTCTGACAAATAATCGTTGCTATGTAGCGTAGTCGATAAAGTCTTCATATTGTAGGTTTTATCTGGTGATACTATAGTCATCCGTGACCGTGCCCAGGACGGCCCTCCCTCGGCACGTACAGTAATTTTGTCAAATATCAGCTCCCCGAAGGTGGCCAAGAGGCTCAACCCCTCTGGAGAGCCTACCTCTGACGAACCCTTTGGTTGGATAGCGCGTGAATTTGTGCGTTCGAAAGTAGTTGGAAAGGAGGTGTGCTACACTGTCGAGAATCAGATTGGTTCCGATCGCGTGTATGGATCTGTGTTCCTGGGAAGGGATTCCGGTGCTCAAAACCTTACTCACCTCCTTGTGAGTGAGGGTTTGGCTCAGGTGCGACGCAACGTGAGTCAGGCTATGATCGAAAAGAGTCCAACTTTGCAAGCACTCATTGGGCTAGAGGAGAAAGCCAGGGCCGATCGAAAGGGGTTTTGGTCTGGCTCCGAGGTTGGCGCGCCGCGTAACATCTGCTGGAATATTTTGGACCCAACGAACTTTTTTAACCTCCATGTTGGGAAGCCCCTTCACGGCGTTGTTGAGTTTGTTCGTGAGGGTAACACGATGCAGATTCAGCTCTTCCCAGTTGATGAGGACGTCACTCAAACCTATTACAACATCACGGTGCTCCTCTCAGGTATCAAGACTCCGGGCTCAAAGGTGGTTGAGGGTTCTCGTGTTTACGATCCCTTTGCTCTTGATGCGCAATTCTTTGTGGAGTCGCGTCTTCTCCAACGCGATGTCACTGTCATCCTAGAAAGCATGAGCAACAGCTTATTCGTAGGCAGTGTTCTCCATCCAAATGGCAATATTGCCCTCTTTCTGCTGCGTGAAGGATTGGCGCGGTGCTTGGAGTGGAACCTGGCAGTTGTGAGTCTGGAGGCTGGTGGAGCTGAAGCCTATCGCAGTGCTGAACAAAAGGCTAAACAAAAAAGCCTTCGCATTTGGGAAGATTACGTTCCACCAGCTGGTGAATTTGCAGATGCCTCGGAAGGAGCCGCAAAGACTGAGAAGAAAGCGCCATACATGCAGGCCGACTACACGGGTGTGGTGGTCGAAGTAGGCAATGGAGATAATGTTCTTGTGCGCTGTCAAGACAGCATAGTTCGAAAATTCTTTCTCTCCAGTGTACGACCACCCCGTGAAGTTCCGGAGATGAGCAGACCACAACAGACCGTTCCTCGTCCGCTTTATCAAGTGCCTTATCTATATGAGGCTCGGGAGTTTCTGCGTAAGCGTTTGATAGGAAAGCAGGTTAGGGTGCAGATCGACTACGTACAGTTAAAACCACAGGGAAGCACACTGGCTGATCGTGTGTGCGCCACAATCCTGGTGGGTGAAAATAATATCGCTGAAGCCCTTGTGCAACGTGGTCTTGGGTCGGTGGTCCGCTATCGCAATGCGACAGACTCTCGATCCCGGCACTACGATGCTCTCAGGGCGGCGGAGGCTGCAGCCCAGAAAAAAGGTGTTGGTATCTTCGATCCCAAGGACGTACCCGTTCATCGGCTCTCAGAGCTTGGAGGCAAGTTTTTTGCTTCTTTGCATTGTTCTTTATTGCTTGTAACTTGACGATTGATTTTGTCTAGGCAATGTGGCGAAATCTCGACAATTTCTTTACTCTCTTCAACGTGCTGGGGCTGTAGATGCCCTCGTTGAGTTTGTCGCATCGGCGTCTCGTCTGCGGGTAGAAATTCATCGGGAGAACCTACTTTGTGCTATTCTTGCTGCTGGAGTCATTTGTCCCCGACCCTCTAGGTGAGGCTGTCAAGGTTCTTATAATGTCAGTAAATAGCTAGTCATTGCTTTGCCTCTGGGTTTTTATGTAATTGCGATGCGTAGTCTTCGCAATTAGTAGCTACAACCGTGCCTGCATACTGGTTGTCTTAGTTTCCCAACCATACGTATAATTTTAGGATATCTTTCTTCCATCCCAAAGTAGGTTTAATTGTAGTCGCGCTTTGTTCATCACTTGTTCTTCAATTCCGTTGTGTGTTTCTCGCTATTGGACGAGTATTCAGTTGCTTATACCATCTTCAATAACGTTTTTTAACTTTCACAAAGGAAATTGCCTAATCAGCCCGAAGAAGCCAGTGAGCCTTTTGGTGACGAAGCCCGTGAATATACTCATGATTTAGTCATGCAACGTGAGGTCAAATTTGAGGTCGATGGAATGGACCGTTTGGGTAATTTGATTGGCTGGATTACCCTGCCCTCCGAAGTGAGGGTCACTGCGACAGGTGCTAGAAAGGGGAAGAAGGGAGGGCCTTTCATATCCAGCAAAGATTTGAGTGCAGTCCTGGTTGCCCGCGGCTATGCAACTGTGAACCGAGCGCCGAATGTTCAGCGCTCTAGTCACTTCGCCTCACTCCTGAGAGCTGAGTCATTCGCGCAGGAGCACAATCTCGGTCTGTGGTCTTCGCCAGAGTTTCGTGCCTCTTGGAATGCTGATGTGAATGTTGTTGAAGGTGATGGCCAAGATTGTTCTGACGCTTCGAAATCAATGAATGGCTTGCTGTTTGTCAGAGATCTCCAGAATGCGCACCTTGATGCCGAGATTATCAGAAAATCGACATCGGATCGACTTGTAAGTTGGAAGTGACAAACGTATATCCGTAATGTATCCTCGATTTTGATTCTTTTGTTCGTCTTGTTTATTTAGAAATCAGCTAATCTTGCACAAGTGACTACCATAAGCAACCCGGCAGCGGGAAACAATGGTTTCCGGTTCTTTGTTCATCTAAACAGTCGAACGGCTCTAGTAAACACCATAAACCGGGAGTTAAATTCACCCAACTTTCCTTCTGTGGAGTCTTCCACAGACTTCCAGCCAAAGCGGGGTATGGTCTGTGCAGCTCGGTTCTCCATCGACAATCTCTGGTATCGAGCCCGCATTCTTCGTGTGATTCAAAAGATTGTGACTGTTCTCTTCATTGATTTTGGAAATGAGGAGGCCATTGATACCAGTGTCGGTAGTGCTCCAAGACTCGCAGCTCTGCCGAGAAATCTTGCAAGTCAAGATCCTCTGGCGACTGAATACCGGCTGGCATACGTTCAGCTTCCTCCAGACCCCGATGATCGCGAGGCTGCTTTAGACTATCTTGCTCGCGAAATAGGAGACCAGGATGTGAGTTTTGGGTACATCTATTCGCCTGGATGCCTGTGATTTGGAAATTTACGTCCTTTTCAAATCTTTCTAGATTCGCGTGAGTCCTGTTCCAGGTCCACCGACACCTTGTGGAAAAGACGACAATCGCCCCATCCAGAGTGCCGTTGTCTACGTGACTCGGAAACAAGTGGCTGAGTCCTCGAGTTCGACTCAGTCAACACCGGAATTTGTTGATGTGGGTGAACAGCTGTTGCGTGATGGCCTGGCTTACATGGAGAATGTTCGTATGCCTCCGGACATATGTGTCCACTACTCGGAGGCACAAAAGGCGGCAATGGGTACCCGCGCGAACATATGGCGCTATGGCGATTTTCGCGATGACGACATGGATTAGATTTGTCGGGTTTTAAAGCCCCTCGTTTCATCCTTAATCTTTTTTCACTATCTCGAATATGGTTTGAACGTCTTTCCTTCGGCGCATGTGTTAACTGTGTACAACAAACACTTTTGTATAATTATCCTGACAAAGCATGTGGGCGTGTGTGCCTTCCTTCTTCCCTGACGCCTAGTTATTCAATCCCATATTTGCTTCCCGAAATAGTAATTTTTTGTCTAACTGGACCTAGTTGTCATTACTGTCTCCGGCTTGGGTCCTTTTCAGGCTGTGCAACGGTCTGGGTCTGCACTACGCGCCGATTTCCCGTTCGGGTTGGATCGTGTGACATTCCGCTTACACATTTCCTTTTGTCTAGTTGAAGGTGATTTTGGAATTCGTCCTACGATAATAGTCTCACTGGTGGATAGCGCTATTTTCCACCCGAAAGCGGTATGCCAAACCGCTATCTAATCGTGCATTTCCCACCTTGTGTCAATGGCGATGCCGTGCTGGTAGGTCGATCTTTGCATCTTCCTCCTCTGTGTCCTAGTATTGCAGTGGGCTGGGCATTGGACGATTTACTAACCACCTGGAGGTCGGCATTTATTTTAATGACTTGATTCTTTTTTGCCGCATGTAAGGACTTTGATTTTTCATTTTAGAACTTAATCCAGTGGTGTTGAGCGTTTTCCAGCTACCAACAGCTGGTAAGCTCCATGGTTTTACCTGAAGTAAATAAAGTACAATCCTGAGGTCGAGGAGTTATTCGTGATTTGTTAATGCATCGTCCCACTGCCAAGTATCAAACGAGGCTGGTATAAAGATTTGATGAGTTTCCTGTCGTTTTTGTTATGAAGACAAGTTCCAACACCTGTCTCCTTAACTGGATATGGCTAGATAAACATTCGAATGCAGTATATGAGAATTGGATATCATTATTTAGGGGGTCTGCAATTCAGCTCGTGGATTTGTAGTACACTGGTGGTAGCGGAGAGCGAGTCGCATTGTAAGGGACAACCACCTTGATTTCCATTCCTGAATGCTAAGTCTTAACGTGATGGGAAGCTGTGATGACCTTTAACAAAAGGGTTGAAAATAGCGTCTACCTCCTGCAACTACTTTAGTCCAGCGTCTCGCGCGACTGCTATTTACACTAGCCGTGGTCATGAACCATTTGGAAAAGTTTGTTATGGAGCTGTCCATGGAACCTTCATGAAGATGTCAATGAAGTGAGCATGTGATAATTCCTCCACCTCTCAACCATCTGGATAGTATCTAGCTGGGCACAGTTGGGCAGCAGTGAAGTGAGAACATAGTGACAAGTAGGAATGGACGCCATACATACATACAGCTCCCAAACAGGACGAACCACCAGATTTAGTGAAATTGCCCCTGGGGATTCGTGATGTTTCAGTTGGCTAGCTGTCATGTCAATTACACGCAAATTCGGCACCGACTATGTTGTAATGGCCGATGCGGGAGGTTGACCAAGGGGAGTCATGTAACACTTTGATGATTTGTGTATCTCATAGAGTTTCACGGGCACTTAAGGCTTCGAGATTTAACTTCCGCTAAGCGACATGGCCTTTGGAACATGCCAGCAGCCTCCAACCCTTTTGCATGGCAGCGCTACATCTTTTGTCCTAGTATTGACTTCTTTTGTCGTCAGGACAGACGCAGGGCACTATAGCTCCATGGAACCAGCGTAGAGACCGAATAGGCCTATGGTGTTACACTCAAAATTCGAAAAAAAGGTCGTTATACTTCAGAGCACTTTCAGTTATGCTCAAGTTATGGAGCATTTCTCCACAACATCTATCTGACTAAACAGACAATGATTCCCTCAAGCCTTCTGTACAAAGCATTCAAAGAAGTTGAGGAATTGAAATGTCTAACAAAGTCTCCAATGCAATAAAACTAGCTCATGTCACGTCTCTTTGTGTAAGTACTTTGTGCGTCTACACAGCTATCCCACTGTAACGCATACCCGATCTTGAAATCCTGTTGCTCTCATTTCCTCGCTAATGACAAGGGTCTATTTTACCACTGAACTACAAAATTTGCGGTACTAAGAATCATCCATTAGCCGCACAGTCAATAAGGTTTTTATTTTTGTAAGTCACAGGCTACTTTTCCGTCAGCACAACATAGCAAATACTAAGATTTCGGCGAATATATGGGAACTTGGGACACGATGCGCCACCAGAACGCGCAATGCGATTGGTTAATTTTACACCTAAATACAGCCAATCACATTCGGGAAAGGTCTTTCTTCAATTTCATTCTTAAACCCCGTCGCCGTAGCGGTTGGAAACGAAGGGAATGTAGTAAATTGTCTGCAGCCTCTTTGGACCACTAAATAACCAGTAATTCATTTTGGACAGTTAAGATTATTTCAGTTACGGATACTAATTTTTCTCAGTGAAATTTCCTAGAAAAAACGTGCTTACCATTCCCAGTTCTTTTGATGCTCTTGGATTGGACGCAAATGAAAAAAAAGTTTTCTGCTTAGGGGCTGAAAAGTCTTCTTGACCTCTATATTAAACTAAAAACCCAACCTTAAAATTTGATTAATCGATTCCGTTATGCATCACAAAAATACTTTATTTGCTCAAGCAGTTAATTCAATCTGAAGAACTCCCTCCAAGCCTAGCCTCAAAAATTCGTGAACATATTAATAAAAGATATCAAGTATGCAGACCAAGTGTGTACCCTCTTTATAATACGGATACCGAGTCGGACATATGCCACTAGGGCTCATGTGATTGCGCATAGACAAAGTGGGCATAGCGCTCAAAGTCAATAAAGTCCTCCTGTGCCAGACCTTTCAAGGGTATTTTTCCATCCCCAGCGTACCACACGTAGTTGGGCGTGTAGGTGAGAGGTACCTCGTCCTCCCCAACCTCATCAGCTCCATGAGTTCGCAGGTGCGTCTGTTTGATGCAGGCACGCTTGATCGCACCCCAGAGAGCGTGGAGGAGGAAGGCGAAGTGTACAACAATTACCGTGCCAATAATCGCTGCGAGAATTACGTTGTATACAGCACTGCACTGCTCCCAGGCTAACTCTTGTTCCTCTACTGAAACTGGTGTTGCTGCCTGAAGAAGTTGAAGATCATTCTTTTCCTTAAAAGGAGAACTAATTGACAAGAATGAATGAAAGTAGGACATTAGCGACGTAAAGTTAGCCTAAGTGTTCTACTTCTCAGCAAATGACGGAAAGGTAACACTAACTACGCCTCTTGAAAAGAATGAACTTACCTTAAGTATTTCAAAGCCAGTCACTTCCTGTAATAGAAAACCCATAAAGAGAAGGAATATATGGAAATCGAAATTAAGGGGATATGCTAGCGTCTTCTTGGCTCAATGGAAAGCTAATATATAACTTTTGTTCCTATCTCAACTATAGTTTCAAGTCGAAGCAGAACGGTGTGGCCACGGGGATAACTTAGAGCGGAAATTAATGAATAAGGTGGCACTTGTTCTCGGCATGCAGTCACCTGCTCGGCATTCTCACTTTCCCTGACCTTGACTCAGGTCTCCTTGCCACGGCGTCCCAGTTCTTGGCATTTCGATTAGCAATTTTGCAATCTTTCTGTTCCATTGGTCATAGCGTGAGTATCTAATGCAGCCTTGCAAAAGGAGCAGCAAAGAAGGGCCCTACAGTTAAGTAGCTGGGGTGGCTATTTGGGACGATTCAGCAGTACTTAAAATATGGGTAGATATTTTGATATTTACCGCTCGCCTAGGAAATTGCTTGACCTTTCACTGACCTGCCCCCAAGTGGCTTTTGGCCACTATTCAAGCTTTATCAATGCTGGGAAGTCGAACGACTAATTAACCTTAAGCGAGCATTTCTAAAGAAGGCCCGTATGATCCTCATCCCTAATGAAGTTGCGCCTGGAAAAGGATGGCATAGAGCGTAGTAATGAAGGGTCTTTTATCCAGTTTTAAGAATGACTTCATTTTCCGCAATCCCTGGAGGAATCTTCATTCTCTTTCCATGAAAATAATCTCTTTCAAAGCCTAGCGTTCAAGACGAAGCCAATTTATTAATAGCAAAGCTATTAGTAACTGCAATTTAGACACATTTTGCCTGCTTGTAATTTGCTGAAATTGTACATCTAAAATTTAAGAGCAAGGGGAAATTTTCTTTATTAAAGCGAATAGGTATATTTGAAGTTCTGCCACTGAAATAAACTCCTCCCCTCCCCCCCTCCTATGTGCCTAAACAAAAAAGCATTAAAGCGATGTCAGGATTACAAGCTGAACAAGTATTGCTCAGAGCTTTCTGGGTCCCTTCAATAAAGTCGAAGTGACCATTTTAGACTCATTCTGTCTGAAACATCAAATAAACATATTTTCTCTTTTTTGACTAAAATACTTCAGAACAACTGTCTACGAAAAAAAATTAAGGTGTACCAAAGGTGTTGTGGCGCATAACTTGTCGTACCTTAGGGTGAAACCCGCATATTTGCACAGCGCTGGCGTCCACCTTATTACCAAGGTGGTCCTTATCCTCGAATGTGTCCACATCAAACGGCTGAATAGTTGGTATTTCCGCAGGATCTAAACAGTTCATACTTCTTGCACTAACAAGTCAGTCACTTAATTGACATTTTTGAAATTCACCCCACGTGTTAGTCAAGGGGTAATTACGTCAAGGAGACTGCACAAATGAAGGTACGGAACTTGCGATCCAATATGAAAAAATGATATTAAGACCTGGATACGTGACAGCGAGGTCCCCACGTTTGCTACTAAGGCAATGACGTAACGCTTCAGACGAATGCTACAGTGCTTCGACGCACGAAACTCAACCATCTACACATTCAGGGGTCCTGGGCGCAGAACTGCCTGCCCAACGAAAATCCTAACCAGGATAGGATTCATAAAACCCGTGTAAACTGACCGTGTAAACGCAACTGGCTGATTCGTCCTGCAACTTAAACTTTTACAGTAAATTCGTCCTCAAAGCTCCTATATTAGTGAATAATAGTCACATTCTAATTCTATATACTACATAGATCGACACGTCTCATCATCCAGGCGCCACTAGGTAAATGGGTAGGGTAAGTCAGCAAGTTTCTACCACGAAAAGATCATTAAAATCAGTTTTGATAAAACAAAACTTGGTTGAAGGTAATTAACTAGAGACCACGAAGGTGACAGCCTCAATTAGTGAAATTCGGGTCTAGTATCTACACTACGGCTTTCAGTGTACGATGGAAAAATGCTCAAGCACGAAAAATAGATTAGCACTGAGACTCAGTATTAAATTGTAAAGACAAAATTAGTTGGAAGCAAGAGTTCGTGAGATAACAGTAGCATAGGTAAAAGGGAGCATTTAAGGGAGGGGGTTACTGGATCATCACAGAATATAGAGTACTTCCGACGGCCTAATTAGCCCTCCGTCGCGTCCTTTGTTTGTCAAACCTCGCCTCCATTTCATCCAAAACCTTTGGTGTGTAACGCACAACAAGCCGCACAGTACCTAGAGCAAACAAGACGAAAATAGCACCAACAGTGTACTGATTACGTAATATTTCGATTTGTTGGCCTGAGAGAAAGACGGGCGAGTTACCTTGAGCTGATTTTAGAAGCTCAACAGCTCTCTCATGGTTCTCATTCTCGACGGAAATGCCATTCACCGAGAGAAGTTGATCACCGCGTTTGAGTTTGCCTTGACGATGAGCAACACCACCCGGGATGACACGACTGATGTAGATGGGTGAATTCTGCTCTTTGCCCCCCATCACATTAAAACCAAGACCTTCCTCCGTTTTGGGCAACTCCACAACTCTGGGATGTGCATGACCTTCGCTCGCCGCGAAAGCAGCAACAGTGGCTTTCGCTGTGGCACTTGCCCTGACCTAAGAAGAGAAGACGGGAGTTTCCGTAGAAAAAGCTGCGTTTAAAGAAATCAAAACACAAGACGCACGCTCTCAGAACTTGAGACGTCAACGGTTTCGTAGATATGCTCATACACTTCCCTGACCATACTAAAGAAGTCGGACTGAAGGATTCTTTGGAGTGAAGCTAATTTTGCCGGTTGTAAATCGGGGCATTTCAGCAAGTTGTCAAGAAGCTCAATAGCTCTCTCAATGTCTAAGCAGTAGATGTGTCGCATTTACTTACCCGCCTGTAAATTCAGTGGTTCAGCCATACCACAGAAACACAAACACCAAGGTAATTTCACACGAAACCACAGTGGCCGCCATATCTTACAGCTGACTCAAATTTATGGGATCAAATAAATAACAAAGACAACAGCGCTCACTAGAAATTTCTAAAAAACACTGCAATTAAACACGTAATTAATGCAATCTGTAAAAATGACTGGGGTAAGATAAAATCCATTTAAAATAACTTGGTGAAGTGATTAAAGAGATTGGTACTAAATGGCTGTCTCCGTCAATACAATTAGTAAAAAAATAATACTTAATTCAAAAACGCAAACGTTAAAAACAATACAATTTGTAACCTGGATTTTTATATTGGCGCGCTGAGACTCACCAGGCCAGAAGGGGCCAAGGATTAGCTGAAAGGCATTGTGCTAGTGTAGCATGTTCCACATTTATCTTCTCTCCTCTGGCCTTCACACCTTATGGACAAAGAGGCCAATTTGATTATGACATGTCTTAAAGCTGAAATCAAATCGGATGGGTACAGGCATAAGGAAATCGGGACAGGGAGTTCCTCAATAATTCGGGGATTTCAGACCATTCCTTTATTAAAAAGCTTAAATTAACTTTGTTGCCCTTTTTACAAAGCACATTAGAAAAGCACAGGTTTTGCCTCTAGCATATAGTCCCATGGACATGGCCAGAGCATCATGTTTCTGAACTGAGGCCCAGGCCGCGCAGGCTGAAACATCCAGGTAGAAGAATAATACCTTTGGGTGTTGATAAGCAAGATCTTAACCATTTTTACAAAAGGGTGACACTTGAGCAGCAAATGTATAATCGAACCGCAGAGTGGATTGGAACTGGCTACCATGCTCCGAGGCTAGAGTGCCTAGCGGAGTTTCAATGGCGGACCTTCTTTGCAACTTGTTACCTAGACTTAAGGCTAAATGAGGCAGGTGTTGTGACCAAACTGGCAGTTTCGATTACGAAACCACTTTGGACTGGATTTGATAGCTTCTTCTTCACGATGTGAGTGTTAAGCCACGCCATTAGCCTCTCAGCCCTTCTGCCTTCAAAGAAACATGTTTATCTTAATAGTGTGGTTTTGTAGGGCTTTAGAATGGACTCAGGGCGCTGCAGTTCAACTTGTGATTAGATAAATGGCCCAATAATTGCATTTTTTAAATGCACCTCTCGCCTCTTTTTAGGCAATACACAAGACATTGATTTTATTGTGGCATGCCTTTAAAAAATGCAAAGAATGGTGAGTGGTGTAATCCCTGTGTTACAGCACATCGATTTTTAAATCACAATGATTTCCTACACTTTGGCTAGTTTCAGACTCAGTACGCAAACTTTTGGCTTTAAATTTGATTTTAAATCGTTTAAAATTTTAAAGGTGCCAAAAAAGATCAATGTAAGTAGCTATTTGATTTATAAGTGGAGATTTTCTTTGTTTCAATTATTCATTTTGAGCTGCACTCGCTCCTTCCTTTACTAGAGAATTTCAGTTCAAGATATGGAGTACATCAACAAGGCCCGGGATTCACTGAATAAAAAGCTGAGGGAGAAAAACGCTTTTACGGACGCTCTTGGCACGATCCAGGACAAAACTGGGGTTAAAAAGGAATACATTGTCTATGGTGCTTTTCGTTATTGGTTTTAACGTCATTTACAGGGCTGATTGCACTTATTACACTTTATTTAATGGTTGGGTGGGGAGCGACGTTTCTGGCTAATTTTATTGGCTTCATCTATCCTGCGTATTGCTCGTAGGTTTTTGTTATGTTTCAGTTCCTTCAGAATTAAAGCCATTGAGTCTCCATGTAAGGATGACGACACCAAATGGCTTACTTACTGGGTTGTATACGCAGCTTTTGCCCTGGTTGAAACCTTCACGGATCTTTGCCTTTACTGGATACCGCTTTACGCCCTCCAGAAGGTAGATTGTCCAACTTTTGTTGGTTTTAGCCTTTGTTTCCCGCTGCCACTGTCACCGAGTGCTTTTCGTAACTAGTACGTAGATTGCTGTACGTGATTTGTAGCCTCAGTGTATGTTAGTCTGTGCTTTTTTGCCATCTGGATTTAGATTTGTGGACGAAATGATGTTGCACTTTTAGTATACTGCCGCCATATTCCTGTAACTCCTTTTCCCTCACATTTTTTATCAATTACATTCGCTGTACCACATGAAACTAAGCCATTTTACTTTGCTTCAGTGTATTTTCCTGATCTACCTGATGATTCCTGGAAATTTCAATGGATCGGTTTTGTTGTACAACAAGTTTATCCGTCCCTATATCCTGAAGTACGAGAACGACATTGACCGCGCGGCCGATGAGGTCGGCAAATTTGTCGACAAAGGTATGCTTGTTTCCACTTTGCTATGTCGTACTTTATTCTCATAACTCTAGATAATTTCGCAACGCTGGCATGGCTGTTAATATATTTTGCACTTTATTCCTTCTATTTGTAAGTCTGGCGTTCAGTACTGCAGTCCGACGTAGTTTGTAAGTTTTCTGCCCATTATGCTCGTCTAAAAAGGGTAGGGGCACTCCTACTTTCGCATCTTGTTATCGCTCTTTTGGTGTCCTAGTGAGCCGGTTTGTATGGCGTAATTAACTCATCTCTGCTTTATCGTTGCATCTTTAATGTAGCTTTCCTGTTTATCCTTGCGCCTTAGCGAAATCCGATGCTGCTGCGGCGGTGGCTCGAAACCTTGTTTCTGAGACCCATGAATAGAGGTCGCATCGACTTTTCTCATTTTCATCTCTTCAACTTCGAAGTTTATCTTCGCCTCTGCTACTTCAACTCAGTTCAGCTTCCTCATCTCGATGCGCGTTGGTAGATTTTGGATTTATGACGGCGCTGTCGACATTTCATCGACTTCTTTGCGCATTGCTTCCCGTTTTGTGTAACTTATTTCTCCTTTTCGTTGTCCTTTGATGGTATTATACTCTAAGCTAATTCCGTTCCTTTATTTGGTTTCGATGCCCTTGGTGATTTACGCTGTTAGGCTGCGTGGTGTATTTAGTGGTTTCTAACGAAAGTTTGAATTTGTAGTGAAAGAAACTGCTGTCGACTAGAGTATTACCAGCCGGGGTGTGCTGCGATCCCAGCATGGCCACCCAAAACAACTCTGGAGTGAATCTTGTGGGAGAGATCGGACGCTGGTTCTGCTCGATATTGAAAGATCGCCTTCCAGTCAGTTTTCCACAACTTAGCTCGTGGCACTAATGGTGGCGAGGGCGCGTTTTCCTTTTGCTTTAAAATAAGCAAAACGGGTGAGGTCATGTGAGACACTGAAGAAAATTGTGTACTTTTAGTAGCAATGCTTCTCGTGCTAGGTCGTACTCTCCCACGCGAATCTTCGTTGCGGAAGTGACGGTGGTTCGCCGGGTGGTGTTTTGGCTGGCCCTTGGCGGGTTTTGCATGTCCTTGTGCTTTGGGACATGTGGGTTTTGACTATCCTTAGGTTATACATTTTGGAAAGGACGGTGTTCATAGACGTCATTTTGCAATAACTGGTCGCGACGGATCGTGTCACGAGTAGATTGATTGAATTTAGGGTAGTAGGATGTGTAGTCTTGACGGTCTGTGGACACTTGCGTTTTTTTTCGGTCACATTCAAACAGTTCAGTATCCGGGCCCACAACGTAGTCGATTTTACCCTTTGATGAGCTTATGAGACAGCCCATTGCTGCATTTCACCCGACGAATATTATTCGGGAGCGTTTTGTCGTTTCGTCGCGGCTCCACATTGCGTTGTTTTCATCTGTATAAAGTAGCTCAAGGAAGCGTATTTCTCTATAAGTGATCATAAGCTTTGATATTTATTCTTGAAATCTGATCATATTATCATCCTATTTAAAGAGTTTTTTTTCGGAATCCTAACAGCTATTAAAATAAGGGGATTTTCCCAGCTAATCGGAGATTGTTTTCGTCATCGGTTGGTTCGCTAAACACTCGTTCTAGACTTTTGAATAGACTAATTGTTTCTTTTAACTTTATAAGATAAGTAATAAAGTAAATGGATGAAAAACAAACGATCTAGATTGGCGATATCTTAGAGATGAATCGCTTACATTAATTGACAGCGAGGAGTCAGGACTGGGATTCCTGTAGCGACTCAACACCTCTTAGTGTAGTGCCTTGCGAACATGAGGGACGGCTTTCCAGGTCCACTTTATGCTTGAGGGTTTTGTTTGAGTTTCCCCATCCTTATAGAAGACCCTCGTCGCTTAACTAGCGGTGATCCCTTATCGCATTTGAACTGTTGCAATAGCTGCGAACGATGGTGTTAGTGTGCCACTGGAATATCAAGCAGGCGTCACTAACTTCATGTTGAATGTCAAATATCGCAAAGTATTTAGAAACTTAAGTCAATTCGTGCCCACAATTGTTTACGCTTTCGCGTTCAAGCAAGTGTGGACTGTTTCCCTTCAAAATTAGCTTCCCTCTTGCACTGGCCGTCCTGTAGAGCTCATGATTGGAACAACAGTTAGAAGTCGATGAGGTGCCTTCACCTCTTCTGCAGAAGACACCTTCCTTCGGAGAAGTTCTGGGATGGAATATCCAGTTGACGAAATAGGGTCTGTTGTTCTTTTGAGGTGAGTTCGCCAACGCCGCCTTTAATGCGTCTTCCAAGTTATTTCCAAATTTTTCTAAGTCAGAGGGCATTTTTATTACCAAAGAGCAGAAGAGTTGAGACTGGCAATATAAGTGACATGAGCAGGACTCTGTGCCATGAAAGTGAAATTTGAATCGTGGGAGATTGAGGATTCCCACGTTACGGAGCTTGGAATCCGCTCTGGTATGCTATTTCTAGTTTCCTATCATAAATTTGTTCCGTCGCAGGCAATGAGCTAACTATACTACCATCACGAAGACCAAATGGCTGCTGTAGGAGCTTGAATTTCACTGACGTTACAGGCAACTCACGACTGCGCCTCCAATTGGGATAATAAATGTTTAATGGAATTCAGCTCCTAAGGATATTATCGTATTCCTCTGGAACTTCATTGGTTAAGGTTGATGTGCTGTTGGAGTTTGGACACATTCCATCGCTTCTAGAAATATTTCACCTGAGTTTAACCATTTGCTTCTGTGTGTTCACATTGACGAATGGGAAGTTTGTTTACCTTGATAATTTGAAAATGGAAAGTGTGTGAGGAAGGTGATGCTGAGAAGTACTAGAAATTTTGTCAATTGGGTTCACTAATAATGTCATATTTGGGGTTAAATTAGGTGCACCCTCCACCAAAGTCACTTGAACAATCTCAAAGCATTTTGGCCCTTGCTCTTGTGTACCCAGCAACATCGCCTTTTAGTTATGAACATTAAAGAAACACTTTATCATTCTCCGTCTGCTTTGTGAAGGAGTTTGTTGTGGGACAGAAGTTGCCTGACTGACATTGACACCTTTGCTACTGATTCGTTACTGTTAATTGAACAACTTTCTATGCCAACCTACATAATAGGGATTGCCCTAAGAGGTTATGCAAATTAGGGTGAGCTAGGCATTGGCATAGACAGACCTTTGCCACTAAATTTACGAATAACTTTTTTAGAATCAATCGTTTACGTTAGAGGAGCTTCACTTAACTCGGACTCCATGCTCTAGAGACGGTAGTGGTGGTTTAACTTCAACATTGGGTATAAACCGCCTAGCTGCTGCTTCCAGCCACCACGTGGTCATCTTGCTCGTGAATACGCTTCATCTGACCTCGAGCTTGATCGGTGAACTTCATGGTAATCCGCGTGAGATGGTGTCGCGTAGCCGTGGTCAGCATCTTACCTGACGCCTTGCTTGCGGTGATTGAACAAAAATGCGTTTATTTTTCTGATTTATCGGCCTCATAGATGATGAATTTATTCCCTGCTTAATCTCCTATCTCTGTGGGTTGAGTGCGGTGTTTCTAGTTTTCATGCCTTAATATACGATAAATTTACAATTTCATCCAGAAGTTTGACACGAATCACCAAATTTTCTGTTAATAGGTTGAAAGGATCAACGTATTTCGTGGTCTAGCCAAGTACAGCCGCTTTGCAAGCTCAAAAACTATTAGCGCTATATTCTGAGGTTACATCTGCCGTTGTATTATGGAAATGTGGGTTTTCGCCGCATTTTGAATTGCAAATATATCATTCGACCTATGTCCTAACTTAGCTTTGTACTTCATCCAGCGTTCTTTGAGACAGACGGTCGACTAGTGGTAAAAGAGGCATAGTCGACTGTTAAGGGGTAATATTTACTTAAACTAGCTCACACTATGTAAACAGAAAGAGTATATTAACCGCATCTACAAAGGGCCAAGTGCGCAGTCCACTGAGCCGATAAAGCCATTTGAGTTCATATTGGTTTGATTCAGTTTTTGGGTGCAATTTATAAAGGTAAACTCTGCATACAATGCTGTAGCGTTCTGAGTCTTTCCTGAAGACGAAAGGAGTCATGACAGTGAGGCATAGTGAGTACTGCTGAGGCACAGAAGGACTGAGGGGTTACTAGCATGGCCCGAAGGCCATATCGTCCGGTGGAAGTACAAAGGCGGAGACTTAAGTGCCCGCGAATCCAAAACGAAGAGCGAAATAAGTAATTAAGGCTTTGCAATGCTCTAAATTGATGGTGAAAATTTCCTCTTGTACAACTCACCGTCAAGTGTCAAATGAGTTT